GTGTTTATTGTGAGTTTATTTCAAAGGTTTCAAATTTTGTATTAAAGGAGAAAACTTTTGGAGTCAAGGTAGAGAGAGAGAGAGATGGTGATGGTGATTCAAAAATTGTGGATGGTTTAGAAGATCGAGGAAGGGTTAAGTAAATAGTTGTAGGTAGCAAGAAACAATTTTTTAAAATAAAATTAATTTTTCTTTAGTCATTTTGTTTGTTTGTTGTGTAATGGGTGATTTAAGAGCACACCAACAAAAAAATAAAATATTTAAAATTTTAGAAGGTAACCTCAATGTGTTACTGAATTGCTCGTTAAAGGGGACAATAAATATTTTATTTTAATCGAATTGGTCCCCTTGATTTTTTTAATCGTTTTTTCGTTAGTAGTATTTGTTCTTTTTTCCTGTCCATAACTTATTTCCATCTCTGGTAGTATTTTTCTACTACTATTCAATAGTTTTTTTTTCTAAAAATTATTTGCTAGAAATACAACAAAAAAACTATAATATACAAACTAACCAAAATTATCTTTTTTCTTTTACTATTCTTTTCTATCTCTTTCTAAAAATTTTCTAGATTTCTAATTATAATTTTTTTTGTTATTATTACAAATGACCTTTTTCTATTATTATTTCATCTCTACGTAAAATAGAAAGAAAAAAAATTGTGAGCATTTATTTACACAGTGGCTTATTTAGATTAAATAGCATAGTTGTTTTCGTTTTTCACATTTCCGTGAATCTCTCCAAAGGCAAATCGTTGACGATCTCAAAGGGGTAAAAAAGAGTGAAAACAATTTTGTAAAAAAATCAAAATATTAAAAAATAGGGTTACGTAAAAGAAATCGTGAGAAAATTGAATAGAAAACGACAAAAGAGAGAAACACGCATGCCAAATTTATTGTAGAAACTGGATATTGACTCGATTCACTTTTTTGACGACCCTTTTCTTCAGAGTAACGCGTAAATGGATTTTTATTTATAAACTTCATTTGAATGGAATGCTAATGAAACTGTTGTGATTACTCACACTCTTATTTCAATTAATAAGCCAGATGTTACAAAACAAAACTTCGCATGAACTAATGAAACTGTTGTCTTTTTAGGTTGCCAAGGCTCTCACGATGAAATATTAATAATTTAAAGATTAGATACTCATGTTAGAGACTACACCATTGTAGATGCTCCCATATTTTTTAGAAGGATAAACATATGAGCCATTAAATGGATTATCAATCAATAATTGCTTAAAAATATTTGTTGTTGTTGACCATCACCGTATGTTTAAATTCAAAGTTAGCAAATCAAATTCTTTATGCGATATCAAATTTTTTTATAATACTTCTTTTGTCGTGAACTAGTAAGAAAGAACGTTACTCCACGCTCATAACTCAATTTACATTATATATAGCCAAGAATTTTGTTTGTAAAATATTGAGTTCGAAC